TCCCCGGGGGACCCTTTTTTTCCCCCCCCCCCCCCCATGGCCTGCCAAGCCTGTAGTTATCTGTGTGCACAGTTTACAGCTACACAAACCTACTTTGGTATTTATTACAGGAAAGTGCTCAGTTACATGTGTGTTGCTCCTCCTCCAGCAAACACTCACTGACACAGAGTCCTCGGCAGAGTTTTCCAGTGTGCGCAGCCTCCTGCAAGTCTAGAGGAGTGGATGTGTGCGTCTGATGGCAAGGGCCCACCCCTGAGATATTACCTCATTATGCAAAAATTACATATCCTTCCTGACTATTTTGACTAAAGCTTAAAAACCACGTCTGATAAAGTTCAGCTCTGAGGAACCCAGGACTGCGAGAAAACGTCCACCTCTATGTTATGCATGCATCTAAACGCTTATCCGAATTCTGCCTTTTATAAAGGAGCAAACCGTATGAAGAAGCGAACTGTACATTTTTAAACTCGATTGCCATTAAAGCAGAAGTTACAAGATTGCAACAGTAACTCGTTTCTGGTCACTCATTTGGGCTTCTCCAGAGTGTTTGCACACCGCAGCCCCCACCCCCCGCCCCCCTCAACTGTTTTGAAGCATCCAAAGTGTCAGTTTGAAATAATTTTCTTCATTTTGTTCTTGATTAAACCTTTACTATTCCGGATGAAAAAAAAAAAAAAACTGTCAAGTGAATCTTTGGGTTTTCTAGTGCAGAATCCAGGTGCTGACTGACGCAAGCTTTTCATTTTCTCCTCTTTCCGTTCTCTTCCTTAAGCTCTGCTCCCAGGTTCACTTTCTCATCTTGAACTTACCCGGTGGACACGTGCCCTTCGAGTCAGTTTATAACCGAGCTGTGGCACTCTGCTATGAATTGCACTGTGATAAAAAAAAAAAAAGCTCTCTGCAAGCCATCTCTGTCTGTCTGTCTGTCTGTCTGTCTGGTCTGTCATTGCTGGTGTTTTCCTTTGTTTTGGTTTTTCCCCTCATCCCACTCAGCACACTGCATTTCCGTCTGAGGCTTCAGTCAGAATTTGAGGAAAGTATGCAGTGGTTGTTCTCCTGGGTCCAGGACTGTTGCGATTCCAAGGTGTGTTGTCATTCTGGAGTTGTGTTGGCTTGAGTTGCTGTTTTGACCACAGCACAAGAAGACAAATGTTTTAATCGCAGATAATCTTGGCAGTGGAAAGAGAAACACTGATTTCACAGAAGCACGGTTGGCGCGAAGCCTGTGGGAAGAGCCCTCCCGTAGCCACAGCGCTCGGTAAATACTAACGTAGTTTTGCTTAAGTGGTCACAGCGAGAACTCCGAATAGCCACCCAAGACATATATACCTTGCATGACAAACCTTCAAAGTCCTCTATCTTAAGCAATTGCTTCCATAGTGTCTGGACACCTGTGCATCCCTATGTCAAGCCAAGAGCAAAAGGTGCCAATCAGCTAGCTGGGTGGGTCCCGCCAGCAGCCTGGCGTTAGAGGCCATGATGGTTTTAGGAACGCGGTGGCCGCCCAGAGCCCCAGGCTGTTCACACATCCTTAAGATGCATTGGAATTGCGTTTCGGAGGTGTAGGCTGATTCCTGCTCACTGGCACGGAATGTAAGCTGGTTTTTAGACACAGCAGCTCCGCCTCTAGGATGCCGAGGAACACACACGGATGTATGTCCATACCTTTCTTTTCCGGTTTTTGTGTGCTTCCCAGCAGGCCTCTGAGCTCTCTCCATGGGACATAGGAAAACTAGGTAGACACCCTTTGGTAATCTTAAGTTTAAATCTGACCTTGCTGCGGAACCTAGATGAGCCTCAACCTGCAGTTTTGTACATGACGTAATATTTTGGAGGTATGGAACCTTAAGAAAGAAAGCAAATTCATTCCTTCTTTTTTTATCCCCCCCCCCCCGAGAAGGGAAAATTATGTCTGCAAACAGTGTGTCTTATTTTCCTGTTGGATAGCAATTGTTATTTATTTTTTTATTGCCTACTACTTGGACATGGTATATAGAAGCCCTGTCGTGCCTGCCACTAGCTAAATCCCACATTCTTACCTGGGAGCCGCCACCAAGCATCCGTACACTTCTCCTTTCCCATGTATTTAATGTGACAGTTTCTCAGTACTGTATGTGTTAATTTCTACTTTTTTTAATATTTAAAATTGCTTTTAAATAAACATATTCTGAGTTGATCCCAAGCATCTGAAATCAGGCCATTTTGTGAGTTGTCCACTACTTTATTGACTGGGGGGCGGGATGGGGGGGGGAAATGATCCCTTTTTGGTGCTGGAGGGTAGCATAAGTTATCCTGCACCACAGCTCACTCTAGATACAGAACAACCTGTAGCCTTCTGGGCTCACCTGAGTCCCTGTCCACTCCCGCTCCCACCCCCACCCTGTGTGGACTTTTCATGGGGAGACAAACATCTGATCCTCCCAGACACAGCACTAGTGGCTGGATTGGTGAACCAGTGCGTTTAATTGGGGCCGCTTAGGAGTTTCTGCGATGGGTTACTTGCAGGAAAATGGGCATTTTGGGCACCACTAAAACAACCCTTGTATCAGGAAGGGGAGGGGCCTTGTTAACCCTTGGCCCAGAAACCCTTAACCAGCTGTCTACCTTTAGGGAGGGACATCCCTTCCTTCATCCTCTGTGATGAATGCAAAGGGTCTCCTGTCCTCGAAGGCAGTCACAGCTGCTGAACATCCACGGCAGCCAACACAGCCTGCCTAGAAAACAGGACACACCAAACCGTCACTCTGTCCCTTTTCCTGCGGCGAGGACCGTGTGTTAATGTGCCCCCCAAGTGCTGCATCTGCCAGACTTGCCTGACTGTGACCCCGGATGCAGCCACACAGCTTGGTGTGAGCTCTGCAACATCTACTGTGCCCTCCGTGAGCCCAAGGGGCCTGGAAATGGGGTGCAGGGAAATGCAAGCAGGGGCAGAGACTGGTGGATGGAAAGACACAGACGCCAGGAGTCCGCACAAGTGTTTCTGGCTCTGAGGCTGACCTCAGGATTCCGATAGGCAAGAGACTTCGTGACAGGGTTCTAGTCAAAGAGACGTCAGTGTGAGCACAAGGAAGGCTCTTCAGGAAGATGCCACGGTTTCCTCTCTGAAAACTAGTGCATTCCTGTCTGTCACAGAGCAAGACAAACACCCACCCAAGGGAGAAAGCAGCTTCGACAGGGAAGGCTATGACTTTTCCATCAGGGTATTTCCCGAAGAA